GGGGGCCTAGCAGAGCCCCTAGGAAGCCACTGCTTTGATCGGACCTTTATTTTGAAGGCAGCAAAACAAAACTAGGTCATGTGCGTTTGTTAAAGAATTTATTTGTACATATACACTGATCACAGAGACAAGTTTTTACTTATCCTTCTATATTTGGTTCTTCTAACATATGTGTACATTGAAGCCATTTAAAGAGTTGTACAAAAAACAAAGTTGCATGGAACCAAAAGTAACTACACTGGGCCCCGTAAACAGAATTACAATAAAATCTGTATAAAAATATTACTGATGTTCAATGTTCTCTTGTCTGGATATATTAAAAAAAAAAACAATGTTTCTTTACTTTCCTTCTTTAGTCCAGATCTGTATTTCAATGGTATAATCATTGAACTTTGACTATGAGCTTTCAATAGTATTAGAAGATGTAATAGCACATGTCAAAATTCTTAATAAATATATTCAGTGTTTTAAATAATTCTATCCATTGATTTTAAGAAATGAAAGCAGAAATGACTAAAATGAAATAAATAGTTCTTAAATTATGTTACTTTTTCAAATAATCTTTAATACTATAAACGACCTTTTTCTTAGGTTAAAGAAACTTAATAAACAGAAACTAGAATCCAATAATCTGTTTAATATCTCACTAGGAGAATACATATTAGAAGAGATATCAATTAAAGAAGCATTGGAATCTCACTACAAAAAGACACTACTTAATCTTTCTCACGAACCCTTCATTACTAAATTACAGAATGTTAAAGTGTAGAGCCATTTGCTTCAGCTAAAAAAAAAACCAACAGCCTAGTGGACTGTTGAGCCCATTGAGGGACTCAAAGTTTAAACAACCCAAGGACTGATGACATCTAAGTAGATGACTTGCTTTTACAAAATACTTGAACTAGGTCTGTGACTAGGTCTCAATTATAATAACAATTGTGAGGATAAGGCAGTATTTTGTTTAGTTGTATATAGGGTGATTATGAATTGGAACTGACCCAATGACACCTAACTATAACAGCAACACTTCTATCAGATGTTCTGACCCCCTGTGACTTATTCCTGTTCATTCCCAAGCATGTAATACAGGATGAAATGAGCTGTGAAATTTTTTATCAACATGAATTAACTAGAATGTAGCACTCAAATTCCATTGTATCATCTTTAATTGGCCTTTCTTCCTACCCAGGAGAGGGTAGCAACCTTCCACTCAGTGATGTGTGGTTGTCTGAAGAGAATGGATCATGCTGGTAGTCACTACCAAACCAAAGAACAAATTCATCGCCATCAAGTCAGTCCCAACACACAGCGACCTTATAGGACAGGGTAGTACTGCCACTGCAGGTTTCCGAGACTGTGATTATGTATGACAGTAGAAAGTCTCATCTTTCTCTGTATATGATAAAACAACATTCTCATCCACAGTCAAATCCGTTTTGTTATAGGAAATAAATCAATTCACAAAAGGCCATTTATGCAATCCTCAAACCCATATCTGGCTTTTCAGGATCTAATTACACATAAACACTGTAATTACTTCTCTAAAGTGCTGTGAAAGAAAAAATAATGAACAGATTTCTTACATTAAGTAATTTTCTTACCCACAAAACTAAGATTAACTTTTAAAAACCTGACCCAGAGACTTCTGGGAAGATAGTGACTGAGTAACATGTACCAGAGGGACTCCAGAGAAATCAGCGAAGAAACACTTGCCAATGTTCCATGCTGCTGCAGGAATCTGCCCAACCTCTGCAGCGATCTACCTGACCAGGGCAATTCTGCCCACCATTCGTAATGTTCTGCACTAAAGCAAGAAACCCACCAGCCTTCTGTGGTACTCCTGTTGCAGCGGGCACCCCTGCAGGCCCTCTGTGGTGCCCCAAACTGCCATGGGCCACAACATCACAGCTCTTTGTGGGATCACCCAGTACAGCACCATCCCCGTGGGTGCACAACAACCCAACCAGCATCCCCTGAGAGGCCCATC